ACCAGTTACAATCATTTCCTCATCAAAAGAAATATAAAAATAACTAATAATTTATATAATTTGTGCTTGTAAGAAATGAGAATCCAGTCAATAAGTACAGCACTTTTCTCACAAAAGAAAATATAGTTAAGCATTAATCTCTCTATTTTCTTTTAAATGGTTTAAATAGCACGAAAAATGAAGAGATATCAAACCGGAAGAAAAAAATTTAGTAGACTTTTCTTTGTTTACAATATTCCTTTTTCTCCCATGTAAAAATAAAAGATAAAGTTTTTTGACCGATAAGTCTCATAAAAGTTTCAAGAGAATGAAATTATTTTGAAATTAGTTGCAGTCGACGCAAGATATCTTTTGTGTGACATAGAAGCAACAGAGAGTGCTAATCCAAATTTAAAAAAAAAAAAAGCTATCAAATAATTAATTTGGCAAATAACTCATAAGTTTAAGTATAATTAACAACAACAACTATCGAAAACCTCCACTAACAAGCACCCAAAAAATCATTTGAAACATATTATTAACAAGCAAGACTATATAATACCAAACAAGAATGCTAAGTACCAGCTAAATTATGTTTGCTTGATTATATCACTCGGTTTTAAATTACGATATATCAATTATTTGATTTTGGATCTATGTCGATATCACAGTGAATGTTCTAAAATAGAATCATAAAACTAATTATTAAACATTTTCTCTGACCTATCCAATGAGTATGCCTTTGATGTTTAATTATTATCTATGAAAGCGAATTTATCATTATCAAAAGTTATTGGAGATTTAAGTAAAAACGTTTGGCCCAAATTCCTTTTAACATAGTTCAATTTATAATGTTCTATCAGTTAAATAAATATTTAGTAAATACATATTATGAGCAGAAAAACTGCAATTTACCAGTATTTCTGATTTAGATATTCTTTTCAACCATTTCATTTACAGAAATGAGATCTCAGCGCTTCAATCACCACTAAAAATATCTCCAGAATTCTATATTTCTGCACGAATGGAAGCTAGAATTTTATTGTTTAACAATTAATAAAATCTCAAAATGATGAAGATATTACATAACCTTTAATTTTGCAGAAAAGAGAGAAATTGATGTACTTTGCAGCAGTTTCAACAGTTATATAAAAAATAATATAACTGAATATTAAGCTCTATTTTGATGCGATATGTTGTAACCTATACTAACTGAAAGGCATGTAGCAGAAAAGCAGATTAAATTTTATAAGATTCTCAATAACAACCCGAATTTCATTCATTAACTTACTGGTCTTTCCTTAACAGTACTCTTTTCCAACAGCAGAGTGAATAACCATTGATAAACGATAAAAATCAAAATAACACCTGGGAGAATGCAAAAATAATGGCATTTAAAACAGAATAAATACCGCATCATACTCTTTATAACGCCATTCTGGAGTTCTGAAACATAACAACTCTTTGTTAAACAAACGATACACAAACGAGTTCTACCCCACAAATACATCAAAATTTTATGATGTATTTGAACACAACAAGAAATGAAATGCATTAGTGATTTAATCAGTAGAAAATATCAGTGCGTGACTAAGAATGAATGGTAAATGAAATGAAGAGAGTTGCATGTAAATACTAAAAGCTTATTTTACAAGAGCAGTTATGTCCTGTTTGTTTGAAAAAAAATTTTCGAAAATTATATTCAATTAATTTCACTTCTTTCTTTATCAAACTACTGCTATGATGGGAAGAATGTAGCAACAATACTATAAGCTTTAAAAAGATTGCTATTCAACAACGAAAATATAAAGCATAAAAAAAAAACAATTAAACGAGAAACCAGGAGGTTTTTCGAAATGGAAATTACAGGTTAGCTAATAAATAATTTATAGGAGTTACACATAGAGAATCAATGAAATAACAAATACTTGAATTAATGAAAACATGCACAACTGCTTCAAATCAAGAAATGAAATTTAATTTAAAGGAGGAACTAAAAGATACGTACCCATTTTTGAGCAGATTCTTTCAATACAAGCAGACAAATAAATTGTTAGTGTCGAATTCGTTCCTCTTCTTCAATATACATTGCGCGTTGTTGCTAAAGTGAAAAATTAAAAGAACTATCTGATAAATTTAAAAAATAACACGACTTCCAATTCAAACAGAAATAATTCTAAAGAACCTAGTCGCTAACATTAACACTTTCAAATAAGTTTTGTTGTCAGATAATTATTGCATCCGCATTGTCTATTAAATTATTATAATCATTTGACTGATAAACACTGAGACTATGTACTTGAAAAATAAAATTCACCTATATGCTATCTGCATAAGATTTGTGCTATTAACTCTTTAGAAGTAGCAATTTTAATAATCATCGAGACTAACCCAAAATGAATAGAATGGCAAATTAACGAAGTGAGATTATTTTGAAACTGATTACTTCTAAGATTATCAAACAAATGACACAAAAAATAAGGACAAATGGAACAACTGAGAAGATAAGTGGAAAAGTATGGTGACACAGCAGTACGATTAATGAGTAACCGGTTAGCGAGACTTTCTGTTCAAGTCTGTAAGTTGCACACAATCTGTCGAAACTTGTTAGACTAGTTTCCACATTATGATGTTGACAGCCGAATAGATACTTTTGTTTATCAAATATCATCGATATAATGTCTATTTGAAGAGATGTAGCTACTCACGTACAACATCTATTCACGTAAGTCATAATGCATAACGTAAGCATCTAATCATTTCGCGTCAATTTCTCATAAACATACATGCAGTTATATATGAGCCACGTAACATTACGCACGTGAATAAGGTAAAAGTAAAAAAGATAATTATCAGTAACAAAGAAACTAAGAAGAAATCTGTAAAAATTAATGCTCATCCATTTCTATCATTGCGTGTAGTTGAATAAAAGTATTTGAAAATGAAGAAAAGAGCAATATAAGGTTTGCCTTAAGGAAAGAAATATATTATTTATTTTCTTAAGTTTATTTGTTGACAAATAAATTTAATCTAAATTTCAAAAAAAAAATGAAATAAAAGTGAAATGGGATTAGAATTTTTATTGAATACATGGAAACACAAGAATTGATACTATGAAGCTTTACTTTTCCTTTATGCCACCGACTATTTCCACATCATCTCCAAACAGAAAAGACATTCGTATTCAAGAAGAGAATAAAAGAAAACTGAAATAATACTAAAAAGTAACAATGGCCAGATTAGCTATGAGAAAAAGGAAAGAATAAGAAATCAGTCTATCAAATAAATGAGTTTTAATTAATCGAATTCAATAGAAATTTCGGATAAATCAGAAAACTTTTCATAGAAATCCTCGTTAGCATGGAAATATAACTGATTAAAAGAAAAAGACTACACACTAAGGGTAAGCAGAAATAGTGCATAAGAGGAAGAGAAATTAGTCCTTGCTCCCTCTTACTACTTTTCTTCAGCCTCTCATAAAAAGTGTACTATATAAAAAGTTTTTGATCATAACTTCTTGCAAATCAATTCCTAACCAATTTTCGTTATGAGATTTTATCAATTATAGAAGCATTCTGTCAAAAGTAGATTTATGCATGCAAGCATTATCAATTTATATTTCAACTGCTAGTTTCTGCATTGCGTTATGTAGTTCTGGTTTTTTCATCGATTACGTAAAATAAGTCGGACTAATTCATACGATCCATTTTAATCACTTTTCAGAAATGTTTTAGAAGTCTAAATTAAGTTTAGGTTTCAGACGAAAGGTGGTTTTGATGGCAGAACTCAAGAATGATGCGTTATGTGGTTCGCCAGATTCCTCTAGTCGTGGTAAGTGTTGTCTTCCTCCCACATTTAACACGCTAATTTCTCCTTTGTTTTACTGTGTTTCGTATGCTTAGGATCGGTCCGATTCAGGTTGATGTTTGACAGTTCAAGTTCTTCCTTTAAATTATATTTTGGGAGATTAATTGACAAAAAGGTGACAAAAGTTTGAATTCTATCGAGTGACATGCGATGTTTTAGTACTGGAATTTAGTCAGTCGTTCCAAAATGTCATTTTTCAAAACCCATATAACAAAGCAACTTTAACTGTATTTTTTGACAGAACCATTGCGAGTGTAAATTAGTGAGCTTGATCCAATATCCGAACTTTTCCAGAAATAGATCCGAAACTAAATGCTTCAAAACTAAAGATGATGAGTCTGGAATACACCTATATTATCTCTAGAAACGCGCGACATTGTGCTAGTGAATATAGGCCACATTTTCTATTGTAATATATTATTTAGGAAGTTTTATGTTCAGTAGCGCTTACTTATGCTTGCTAAAGACTGATACATATTTTATAGTGCATGGCAGCATGTTCTTTTCGTAAGATTGTTTTTCCTACTGTCTTTTGCTTTATTTTTTACAAAGATATCATCACTGGAATAGTAGTCATGAAAAGATTAGTATGAAATCATAATAATTCGATTTTTTCTTAATAAAGGGTATACGGTTTCTCTGTCTCATAATAGTAACTTGATTATAATGCAGTAACGGTGATATAGAATGGTTAATCTTATCTTTAGCAGTATTAACTTTTTTACTACATCTTACCCTTATTTGAAACATTTGCGGATTTTGAACAATGTTTTGGACTTTTCAAATTCGTAAATTTTGAACATTGATTTAAAAAAAAGAATTCTGCTCTTTTCTTTCAGCTTTGCTCTTCGGTGGGATTATTGCCCCCGTTGTGTTGAAATACAAATCGATAACCACTACCATTCCTGCATCTATGAAGCTACCTTTGACCTTCCATTTGTTATCTACCCTTTTCCTATCAGAATTTGATCTGGGACAAGACCATTTCTCGTACTGCATTGATTTTGCATTTGTGTTTACCAGCCAGTCTTTCTCCAAGCTGATAAAAAGCTACCGACAGCTCGAGCTATTTTACTCACTAGAAAACGCTGCTTTCTATGACTTTAATTACCTTATTCCCATTAAGATTCCTATTTTTCCAGTTAACTTTGGCTATGATGTTGGGAAGCAACTGCCTACTGAAAACCGTCAGTTCAGGTACCTGGCTAACTACATGAGTCCTTGTCATTATAATATGTCTTCATCTCACCGCTTCATGCCATGTCTTCTCATGCAAGCCATATCTTCCTCGAACCTTAAACTCTGAATCGGCACCACATGCCCAAAAGAAGATTAAAAATGCAGTCTTTGCCCACCTGTAGATGACGATTCTTCAAATCCGTCCAGCAGTGATCGGGCAGCACCAGGTATCAAATCACGACTGTCAGAGAATGTGGGCGAACATGATAACGACGACAATTACGACACTAGCAGACAGAGTAATTCTTCTGAGTCTAGCAAAAAAAGTCATGATGGCGACAACAAAATCGAATATTGTCAAGCACAGACTGTCAGTAATGATGGTTTGGTCGTTGTTGTGGGTGATCATTCTGACCAGTTGGATGAAGGCGATGTGGATTTGGATTTAGTGGTGCGAGATGAATGCAACGAAACGCATGGTTATTTTTGTGTTACATTTATCTAGCTTTAAATGCATTTCATTTGCGGATAAAAAACTAGATTCAGCATTATAGACCTTCAGCTCTTTTATTTCTTCATCAGGAGGAAAAGAAGGATTAAAGTATGCAGAGCTTGCCGAGATTTGTCTAAAAAATTCATATAAAAATACACTTCATATATTTTGCAAAAAAATAACTTTCTAAGTATTAAGTTTATTTAAAAAATATTTTATTTTTTTTTTAAATATAAGAAAATATTAGCCGGCTCTGGCTCGGCTCTGACTTTACCTTTTCTTAAATGTGTTAAAAACGGCTATAGATATTTCTAGAAATCAAAACTGTAAGTCTTTCAGAATTGAGCTTAAATAATTTCTCAAAAAAATGAAGTTGAATTCTCTGTTTTTCCAGGTAACTAAAAATCATGCTTGTTTTCTGGCCACTTTCTGAAACGCTTCCATCCTCTTTACTTAAACTTTATACTATGCTGTACTATTCTGAAATTTAATAAAAAATATCGTTCTTGAGAAATATCGTTATTTGTGTATTGGAGGAGTGTTTGCGTATGGCATATCGGTTTCGGTCAGTTTTTTCTTTGAATTTTCAGAAGAGACATCAGAACCATCCCGCTGTAATTCGGTACCTTTGGTGAAAAAAGAAGATATGTCAACATATAAAAGAGCACATTCGATAGAATCATATAAATATAAGCGATCTGATGCAGTCATTTGTGCAGGTAATTTGTTGTATATTATCTTGAGCAAGTAGGTACTTTTCAAATTGATGCCAGTGATCTTGTTGCAATTGTTCTTATTCTTTTTTATAATCTGACTTTATGCCCTAATATTTTATGATATGACTTACCGGTAGAAACACGTATCCATTTAGAATCAGTCGAAATAGAATGTTTGATGCATCGTGCACAATTTTTTCTGGCACGAGCGTGCGAAGAAAATATCAAGTTGGCGATGGAAACTTCATTGTGGACAACCCATCCATTCGTCGAAAAGCTTTTGGCAGAAGCATATCGGCGAGCTCCGGTTGTGATACTTGTTTTTCTTGCACGAAATGCGGATCATTTTGCCGGTAATACTTTGTATTCCTGATATAGTGTATGATTGATGAAATTTCTTGAGAAACAAAGGATATTGAATCCTTGCTTGATACTTTTTAAATAGGTTTTGCTCGGATGTGTTCGGAAGCGCTATACAGAAGTCAGCCAGCAATGAGATGGGTTGATTTCAAAGGCGGTGGTAACATTAAACTGCAATGGATTACAAAGTGTCCGCTTGCACTTAGCGCAAGTGACCATATTAAGAATCCATTCAATAAAGGTACCATTTATTTCTTTAACATTATTTCCATTAAAAAACCAATTTTTGAAATGTTTTGCTTTACTGCAGTAGTCGTTCTGTCTATTCCGGATGTGAATTTTTTCGAATTGTAACAGCTTGAACATTTTTTTCCCGAATAATTTTTCAGTAGTTTTTTATGAAATAAAGACCTAATATTAAATTTTGTATACTTTGTCAAATTTTTCCTAATGACTTGTATTTATCAAGTGCCGTAAAATTTCGAGTTTTAATTGAATGTATTTTCAATTATGGAATATATATGTGTACAATCGTTATATGAAAGGTATTGCGGTACAAGTGCTAGAATTTTTACGTTATTTTGGAACACTGCTGATCCGAATTAGAGTTATTAAAGGAGCAATTCAACTTGTTCTAAATTTCCAATTTTTCTCTCCCTCCTACTCTTTTCTAATTTGAGTTGGAGATTAAGTGCTTCTGTTAAGGATGTCCGTTATGGAATTTCGAAAGTATTGTTCGTAATTTATTCCTCCGAATTTTTTTTGCATTTTTTTTTTTTTCAGAAAAAGTGATATATGCTGCTTCTGATGGTTGTGAGATACAGCGTGCTGCGGGTCAGCGACTCTGCAGCTTATTTCCATTTGATGATAGTGTTGATTTGAAAACACTGAAACTGAAAATTCGAGACAATTCACAAAAACTGCCATCTTTATTGGAAACTGAAATATCCTATTTAGAATTCAGAAATGCTAAGAGGTAGTTTCTTCATAATTGTTATGTAATATGTCTCTTGAAGGAAATTTGTTTTATAAGGAATGTCTTCATACGTCTTCTCGTTCCATTAAGAGTGAATCAAATGATCTAGAAACCGTGAAATTTCTAGATTCTTAATTGGTTTCAGAATCTCGCATATGAAACTCTCCCAGAAAAATGCTTTTTGTGAGCCTCATCCTTCTTCATTTGTATGAGTTATAGAGATCAGCTATTAATAAGAAAAAAAGAAAAACTTGGAATATGTAACCGCTCGTTATACTTTCTGCACATGTGCAAATGCATCATAGCATAGTCAAAATGTTGTGGGAATCAGCATTTTCTGTTTGTTTAAAAATGCAGCTAAAAATTATTGTACGCATATTTCTTTTGATCCTGCTGCAGTAGGACAACCGAAATGTTTTATTCCTACACTGTAGAAAGTTTCAGAAATTTGCCGATAAAGAAAACTTTGAAAGAGTTATTGAGGGAAGGTCGACCTCCTGCTATGTTGTTATCTTCAAGCAGACATGGTAGCCGTAGCAGAATGAATTGTGGAACGGAAAGCTATGTATGTGTTTAAATTATTAGCTAATCAAATTCAAGAGGACTTTCTTTTTATTTGTAGTTCATGAAAATTGTTTTATTCGTTTCTTGGCTTTAGATATAGAAGTCATATAACATGTTCGGTATCGTTTGTCTATGTTTATAGAGTGCTTCTCGAGTGCTTCCCCTTATGGATGTTGCGGTTTCGTATCCTTCACATAACAATTCTCGTTTGTCGTCATCCCTGAGAAAACGTCGGCCATCGCCAAAAAGGTTGTCGCCGAAGCGCCGTCCTTTAATACGGAGGCATCGTCATCATTCCAAGTCAGCAGAGTGAGTTTTCAATTTCTAATTATCACTGAAATGCCGTCTTTTGATACATGGTTATCGTCATTATTCTAAATCATCGAAATAAGTTTTCATTTTCCATGTGCTTTTCTATATTCTTTTTATTTCAGTCATGAGAAAAAACATAGCTCAGAACGATCATCAGGACACAAATATGATTCCTATTCGGCTCACAATTCATGTAAAAGTAATTGGCGTGACAGTTCTCATGAAGGGCATGAATTATTTCGAAGGTAATAAAGAATACTGATATTTCCAAATGTTTGTTTTAAATATTTTGAACGTTTTCCAAGAAACTAATTTCTAGATACATGGTGATGAAGTAAGGTTTCCTATTTGGATCAATTTTTTGATGAAAATTTTTATTTGGTGTTTATGACTATGGCTTTGTGCTTTACAGTGATCTTTTTCATAATGCATAGCCATAACAGTTAAATAATATGTTGGTGCTTTCTAGCGTAGCTACACACATATTAACTTTTAACTTTTCACCTTCATGAGTTTCATATATCTTGTTGTTCTTAAAAAAACTTAGTTTCTTCGAAATGGCTTTATCATAGAATACCAGATATTTTAATTATTTCCGTAGGATTATCTCACTTTTACTGAAAATTATTGAGGTACACAATCAATTTATACCGTAAAGCCATTTCAAACAAATAAATTGCAGAAATAAAAATTTTAATCTCAGTTGTAAGAAGTTTCTAATGTCTACATGTGTTTCTTTAGCAAAATTAAATCTAATTTTGAATTTTATTGCAGACATTCAAGTCGTCATCGGTATTGACTCCCGTGAGAACATTTCTTGAGAGATCAACACTGTCATTTACGTCGTTTTGATATTAATTTCTTTGTTTGCTCCATATTACTACATTTGGATAAAGCAAAAAAATAGAAGCAGTAAAGAAAGAGAAATTTGGATCTTTGTATTTCTCGAAAAATCTATAGAGAGTTTCTGCGGTTGCAGCAGTGCTGTATTCTTTATTTTTTTTCCTTCTTTAAGAGATGATTTATTTCACTGCTATACAGATACATTTTTAAATAGGACTAGTAAGGGCAAATATTCAACTTGTAGTAGAATCTTTCTTGTAATATTTTCCTTATCAATTAGTTACACTTAATTTTAAAGAACTCTAATAGATAATAGTAGGCAGTTTTCAAAACATTAGCTTTTTAGTACTGTGTTCGAGCCTTTGAGATATTTCATACAATATACTTCTGTGCTATCATTTCAACACATCTCTCTTAATTGGGGGTCATATGTGGGGCACATCACTACAAGGTGTAATGCATTTTATTCATTCAAAACAGCATTTATTACATTGCCTACAAATCCGTTTTGAAGTTTCTGATAGGAGAAGAAAGCTAGAAAATAATTACTCTGACATTGTTCGATCTTTACTGTGTTTAAAATTTCCATTTGTAGTTTGTACAATGTCTGCGATATCTTCGCTGTCTGAGATTAGACTTATAGTTCAGTAATTTACTGTGTATTTCTTTTTTGTTTAATATGATATTGATTATCTCAGTAATTATTGCATTAACGAAAATAGCGAACCATTTATTAGAAGAAGAGAATCACCGCACTATACTTAAGCTTTGTTATGAAGCATTGTGTTCCATGTGAATTCAATACTTGTCGTGTTTTAGGCATTATTATATTCGATTAATTATTACAGAAACTTTAGGGAATAATTCGCATTAATATATTTAGCAGAATTATTTCATATGTTTTATCTAACTTTGAATTAGAATTGTGTGTGGTTTGTATAGCAACTGCGATATTTTGATTTTATCTTCATGTTTCTTGTAGGTTTAATTGTATTCTTGAAATTATTTTTTATACTTTGTAATTAAGTATTTCGTGTTGCGCTAAAAATTGTTTTTTTTTTTTTCTCTCTCTCTTTTGCACTATGTTTTTATTTGTATTTTATATATAATGGGAAAAAGGAGTTATAACTGCAATCAGATAAAACTAGTCAGTGACACTGTTTTCATTTTTGTTTACATTACAAAAAGAAAGGGAATTTGTATCGGTCTATTTTATCAAAAATGCTTTGTTTTTTTCTTTTTCCTCATTGTCATTATATTGCTATTTAAGATTTAGAGTGAATTGGTTGTTTTTGTTTAGTTATGGGTTATCTTCGTGGGTAAAATATGGTTAAGCGTTATGAGTAAGTACGTTTATAAGATTTTAAAAAGCAAAGAATTGATAGCTTTTATTTGTATTTTTCATGTGTGTATTATGTAAATAAAAATAATGATATCAATCAATTTTGCATTGTTCCATCCATGAATTCACCACTAAACGACCTTAGCGAGGTATACGGTATTGTCAAATGAACAAGTTGACAGCCTCTTTTTGGAACTGTATTATTGGTGAATATTAAGAAGAAGCAATAAAATGAAGAATTTTTGAAGAGATGAATGAATAAATGGATAAGTGGTCGAGAGGGAAGTGCTATGAAGAAAACAATGAAATTGGTTTGATCAATGAGACGGTCTCATGAAAGGAGATAAATATTCAGGTAGAATTCAATTTCAATACACCAATAAATATGGAGAGCTCCGCCTTATCCTCTCTTATTTTCATTTTTTATGGTAATCGTAGATAGCATTGGAATGATTAATGAATAAATAAAAGAGAAATTTGATTCCATTTTATTCATTACTGATTATAATATTTGTAGAATGTGAATGATAAACAGTACTCTTCTTCTATTAATTGAATCAAAAACATTGAAAAAATTGGAAAACTATATCTTAAAAGTTTACAAATGGATTACTATTTTGTTATATTATTTATATTTCTCATTAATTTATCACCGATCTACAAATTTACAGCTCAATTTACATCATTTTATCAATTCTTTATGAATGAATAACTGCTGATGCAGTCTGGTAGGAGTTTAAATTATCAAAACTTAACTTTAAATGTCTACATATATTTACTTGTATATGTATTTATGACTTTTTGTTTGTCATTAAGTACCATTAGACATTGTTTATTGTTGTGTATTACTCTTATTGATGTCTTATAATTACATAAACAAAAATGGATGATACTAGTAAATACTAGTACCATCCATTTTGAAATATTTTTAAATTCAGTGGTGAACAAAAGATTATTGAAAGAAATTCAAATTACAATTTTCTTAAGAAGACAGTATACCAAGGCTGAGTGGTCTAGTGGTATGATTCTCGCTTTGGGTGCGAGAGGTCCCGGTTTCGATCACCGGCTCAGCCCCACCGCTTTTGCAACAAAATAAAAAAAAAAAAATATATTGCAAGAATGATACTTTGACACAAGAACGACAATAATTCTGCTGGAATTTCATATCTAACAATAGAGACATTATTTATTGTATAGTTTTTATTTCCTTTTTTTTTTTGGTCATTACTTATCTTTTGAAATTATCACTAATTATCTTCTGAAATTATCACTAATTATAATTACTTTTCATCTTTAAATGATTACACTTTAATGTTTAAATGCATCTTTTGCGTAAAAGAAAATTTTTTCATTACTTTTGTAAGGATGAAAGTTTTATGAATTTAACCTTATTACTTATTCATTTCTTGACAAAAAAAAAAATTATTGAGTGTATAATGAAGTATGAATTAAGATATTGAAACAGAATGAACATATTACTTGTAACTAACAATAATTCTTTAAAGTAAAACAATTACTAATGATGGTTCTAATTCCTCTAGAGAATATTTATTTTGCTTTAAACATGGAAAAAGAAATTGATCGCATTTTTTGGAAAAAATACATTAATTTAAGATTCGTAAAAAAAGTACATTAATTTAGGAACTGTAATGACAAAAGCAATTCATTTATACATAAAAATTTTTATTTCTTTTACTTTGTAGGAAATTAAAGAAACTCTCAATGAAATTAACATGATTATTAATTTCAGTTTTTTTTTTTTCAGATAATTATGCAATATGATTTTGTGATTACATAAAGATTTAGCGAAAATGCTAAACATTATTTTGTGTTGGCTAAAAGATACAAAAGAAGTTAAAACAAATAAGCATTGGCTATATCTGAAAACTACAAAATCATTTTTCATTTACTGTCGATGAGATAAGATAAGATAAGATAAGATAAAAGCATCCGTTTATTTTTATATTTGCATGGAATAGCAGAAATTGATTTCTTATTGTAAATGATTGACGCGAAGACAGCAAAATCCATAGCAACAATATTAAATATTGCTGTAAAGTGATTGTTGATGCAAATGTTCAAATTAAAATTTAAAAATTTTCAAAAATCATTTTGAAGCTGAAATTATCAGTCCTAAATCTTATGATATTTAATTCCATAATTATCTAATCTATGATATCTATTTGTATTGAGCTTGCATTTATACACTCTTTGTTGCTTTTTCTTTTTGCAATATTTTTTTTTTACTTATGCTAAAAAAAATGAAATATTTTTGTTGATTGATGTTCAAAAAACTTTATTTCTGATCAGATCAATTATTTTAAAAAAACAAAATTTTGAATTTCTTTCATTTTTTTTTTTTTTTTTTGGTGCTAAATTAATTCAAAAATGGGTTAGGATGATCCATAGATAGGATTACTGTAATGTATATTTGGTGATATTATGTGTGGGTCGGCATGAATGAACTAATGATAAATGTATCGGATGAGTAATGATTCTCGATCCATCCATCCATCCATCCATCTATTCGCTGTCCATTCATTTTATTTTCATTTACATTGGTCAGTGAGTGATAAATTTCACATTAATCTTTCTTCTTCGTTCCTTTATTTCAGATTTTTTATTTGATTTGATTTTGTTTTCTTATTATCAATTAGAAGTATCAAATTCAAAATAGTATATTTCTTTCAAAAATTTTCAAAATATACTATCTATTTTCTTATATTTTATTCATAAGTAAAAATTTCAATATGCTAGTTAGTATTCTTTATATAGTGCTAATTAGCTAGCTATGTGAATTAAATTTAAGTAAATAAATTTCATTTTTCTCCTTTCTTTATAAAATTTAAATGTATACTTTAGATGAATAAATTTTTGTAGCCATATATTTTAAAAAAGAAGAGAAAAAAAAATCATGAATACAAAGAAAGGATGAATGAAAGGAATTGATAAAGTGATGCACATTTATAGCAGAAGAGAGGAGAGAGAGAGAGAGAGAGAGAGGTAAAGAAAAAGATGAGAGAGAAAAAAGTTAGTAAACCATGTTAAAGGTGAAAAGAGGCGAATGGTTGATGGTGATGGATTGAAATGCGGGAATTTTCAAAGGAATTATTTCTTCTAGTTTGATTCAATATTATTTATTTAGCAACAAAAATGCAAGTTTTTGTTAAATTCATTTACACAACTTTTCATCATTGCAATGATTGTGAATGCACTGGCATTTTAGTACTATATGATAGTTTGAAAAGAAAGAAATATTCCATTTATTACTTTTAACTATTTATTTCAATTATTTTCAATTCATTCCTTCAATTTGTTCCTTTCTTTCCTTCCATCCAAGCAGAAATGATATTCGAGAGAAGTTTATCTTGAATATAACCGAAAGAAGTTTATCTTGAATATAACCGAAAGAAGTTTATCTTGAATATAACCGAAAGAAGTTTATCTTGAATATAACCGAAAGAAGTTTATCTTGAATATAACCGAAAGAAGTTTATCTTGAATATAACTGAAAGAAGTTTATCTTGAATATAACCGAAAGAAGTTTATCTTGAATATAACCGAAAGAAGTTTATCTTGAATATAACCGAAAGAAGTTTATCTTGAATATAACC